AAACCCATAATGGTAAATATGAACTGGGAAGCATTTCTTCCGTAGTGAACATTGAACACGATACGTTTTAAACAAAAAATTTTGTTTTATTTTTCGTTTACTTCATATGTAATAATAGCTATATATATACGCAAGCACATTTTTAGAAACTACATATTTGTATTACCCAAAGTACACACATGATCAATAATTCTAATTGTAAAACGGGGCTTAAAATGAGGAGAAAGTGAGTAGATTATTTTTTTTTAAGGGAACATTTGTTTAGTTCACAATAATTTATGAAAAGATATAAATAAATTGTGTACAAGTTTAATTTGACTTTTATTGGTTAATATAAGAATTGTGAAAGTTTATTAAAGTGTTATTAGTTGTTTTACATTTTGAGGAAATTTAAATCTAAATTCATTAACAAAAAAAAACAATAAACTGACTGTACTTACGCTTTGTTATGTACTAACATTACTTACTTACTTACTTATTCACGCCTGTTACCCCCGAGTGAAGCATAGGTCGTCGACCAGTTTTGTCTGACCAACTCTGTCCTGGGCTTCCCTTTCTAGTTCTTTCCAGTGTTTGTTCATTCGTCTCATGTCTTTCTGTATTTCTCGGCGTAATTTGTTCCTTCGCCTTCCTTTTGTCCTTTTGCCTTGAGGGTTCCATGTGAGGGCTTGTCTTGTGACGCAGTTAGGTGCTTTTTGCAGTGCATGAACTATCCACTTCCACCGCATCTTCCTGATTTCCTCCTCCACTGGAATCTGGTTTGTTCTCTCCCACAGTACGTTGTTGCTGATGGTGTCTAGCCAACGAATCTGAAGTATTTTGCGTAGACAGCTGTTAATAAACACTTGTATCTTGTGGATGATACCTTTCGTACATATTTTCATTATATTACTTAATAGTTAACCAATTGTTTGCATGTATAGTTCCAAGTGATCATTTGATTTTTTAATGAAATGATAAACTGATCAATGTTAGATTATCGCTGAAAACCCTTCAGCATTGAACGGTCGTTTCGTCTCAGTATAGAATGAACGTCTGAACAGTGCGCATACACAACTCAGTAAGTGGAAATCTAATCCTGGACCCTAGGACAGACAGACAGATACAACACAGAACTTCGTACATAAGTACGTCAGTTCACGTTGCCATACCACGTCAGCACAGAGACATAACTGTCAGTGCAAATCCAAGAGTGATAGCGATAGTAGAAGTATATTAGCAGTAATGGAGAAGATTAGGGAGCAAAGATATGATTCGAGGAGTATAATTCAGTGAGATAAATTTAGAAAGAGAAAGATAGAGTGAATGAGCAAATCAAAAGGTTAGAATTTCATAGAACACAAAGAATGAATGCACTTGCGCCATTGCAAACGATTTTGAGCCATGTCGTTCAAGGTCTCTAACCATTGGACACCTTCGTCTCGCGGACCTCAACCTGGTAGTCTACATCTACCAACATGACTCAGTCCACTTGTCCGTGACTTCATGGATTTCTGCCTTGTTTTGTTCTAGCCGCCCCTAACTTTCTTCCAACCTACTCCTACACCACAAAACATAGCTCGTCGCGGCAGTCGAAGGTTAGGCATACGTAACAGATGAATCTCTTCTCCACAGAACTAAAGAAGATATTGTCGTAGTTTCAGCGCACACAGAACGCACTACAGTAATTATGGACACTGGAGAATATATCAGGAAAGCCGAAGAACTACTTGAGGATAGAAGTGTCTGTAAACCAATGGACAAGAATCCAAGAAAAAGATTAGATAACCAAAAGCTCAAGGACTTTAAACATGTTTGTCAATGCAGGAAAAATTTCAAAACAAGATTGATGGAGAATGAGATCTAGTGGACCAGTTATTCCACAAAGTCGTCGAGCATCTCCCAGTCGACGTGATCAGATTTACTAAGCACTAAATAAACCCGATCCTCCACACTTAACATGATAGTATTAAACATAGCTCAGTATCACATACATAAATCTCATCTTTATTATAGACAGGAAAAGCCTTGCCTATCATCCACCAACAACAGTCACTAGACAGTACAATGCACAAACTTGGCAAACTATTTCTACCGTTCAATTTTAGTTTCGAGAGTAAAGCCGCAATACACAGGAAATTGTAAATATGCATCTCTTATAGAATCCGGTGTGCTGGTGGAACATAGATGGAATTAAAGCATGATGGCGTTAGCTGCGCGCTGATTGGCTAATTTCCTATTCAATCAGTACCTGACCGATTCTTGGAGAACAGGGTAGAAAATTCTCGTATTGTTAGCTGCATGTTGATTGGCTAAATCTAATCCAGTCGATCACGTGAATTTCTATCCAGAAGCTTCTCATGTAAATGCTATAAATAGACTAATGTTGTATCTATTTTTGCCTTCTTATTTCCATTTAACCTTTTGCTATTTGGAATATAATCTTTTTCCCGTTCAACCGTGTTTTTTGATTCTTTGGAACTTGTCCAGTGCATTGCGTGGTTAGAGAATACTAAGCAATAGGAATTAGCTAGGAATTATTTAAGCAAGCGTTACAACACGGTGTTACGTGCCTAACATTCTCCCCCCGAACTAACTACTTCAACGACAAGGCAAGAATGGAATAGAAAGTCTATTTGGCGACGGTATAAATTACACCACAAACACTTGTCTGTACATATATATAACCAATGACATCCATTCGTCCTCTAGGACATTTTCTGATAGTCATCGATTGATCTACTCACTTGACCACTTCATATTAGTTCACTATATAAGAATACCACTACTACATAATTATGTAACTATAGTTTCATGCTTACATAAATTCTATTTAGTTCTCTTAACTAAACTGTCTTCACCTACAGACACTTGAACCGATTACGTAACGTATATGCTACAAAAGTGTGTGAAACTCTGAGGAATAGCTAATTACGACAAACTAACAGTCTAATACATAATACACAGCTGATATTATATCTTACATAGACAACAAATCACTATTACTAGGAATCACTTATCTACTGAAATCCCGACCATAGCTACTACACTGACGTGGTGTCGAACTTCCCTATCATGATGATAAGACCGAGATAATATTGACTGAAACATGGAACGGCGCAGGTGTAGTCACTCACTGTTTGTGTTCTCTCAAATTATAATCTTCTGAATTCCGCATCGCCTCTACCTTTCTCCGTCTAAAGTTATCTCACTGAATTATACTTCATGAATAACGGTCCTCGAGCCCTAATCTTCTCCAATACCAGTAATACTTCTATTACTATCTCTGTCTAGATAGAATTTGAACTGACAATTGCGTCTCTGTCAGTCAGATGCAACGTAGAACTTCGTACGTAAGTACATCAGTTCATGTTGCCATACCACATCAGCACAGAGATATAATTGTCAATTCAAATCCAATAGTAGAAGAGGTAGTTAAGGTATTAGAAGTAGTCGGGGAGGTTAGGATTAGAAGATATTATTCAAGAAGTACGATTCAGTGAGATAAGTTTAGAAAGTCAAAACTAGAGGGGTTGAAGAATCCAGAAGATTAGGATTTGAGAGAACACAGAGAATAAATGCACCGGCGCCATTGCAAAGGGTTTTGAGCCGTGTTATTCAGGGTCTCTAATCATCGATTATTATCATGTCGCAGACCCCAACCAGGTAGTCCACAATTACCGACATGGGTAAGTCCACTCATCAATGGCTTCATGGATTTCTGCCATGTTTTGGTTTGGCCGCCCCTAGTTTTCTTCCAACCTATTCCTACACCACAGAACATAGCTCGTCCCCCATCTTCTGCTGCCAGACATTACGTTGACACTCACGTCATATACTACTTATAAGTAGCTCACACCATAAATGTCCTAAGCACCTCAACTGATGAAGTTTCATTACTTCATCTATTGATCTGCCATTCTTACCTAGCACCCGTTTCCTGTGCTTATGCAGCATGGCAACATGAACTTATGTACGTACGCACGTACGACGTTTTACGTTGTAACTGACAGACTAGAATATATGTTCCTTAACGTAGTAACCATGCCAGGAAGGTCGATTGAAAATCGGTGAGACTAAAATCAAAAACTCAATATCTCAGGGTGAAGTAGTACTGTTAACTGTAGAGGCAGGTGATAGCCGTAAGATGTTTCCCTCGGACAACCAGCATCTGCGGCGATGTTGCCTCCTTACAACGGAAGGAAGGTCGACCATAACAATCTCATATCTAACCTTACCTCACGAATTTCCATCTCCAGCGGTAAGGCCTCTTGAAGAGCGGAGCTAACACTAAGAACTTCCCATAAAAAGGCCATGTCCAACCAGTCTCAAACAGTTGTCCCTTGGACTGTGCAATTACACACCTAGGTCGCTGTTAGGATATTCATCCAATATCCTTAGTGAATTATTGATCGATTCCTACTGGTCGATTTTATGGTCGTCCTAGATATCAATGTCACGTACTACAATGTTGTTCCTTATTGGTCGACCGGACTATCAATGTCATGTCAAATGTTGTCTCCAATTGGTCGTCTTTACTGTCAATGTCACAGACTTCGATACTCTTTCCTCTATTCGACCTAAATGTATAAAATACGCACTATCTGCAAAGCTTTGTATTCCTTTCCTTCTTACCTTCCTCTTCACTGTACTCGACCAAACTTCATCTAACGGCGTTGTGTTCTGATATATATATAGGAGATTTGGGAATAGTATATTTGGGTCGTATTAGAATATTTGAATTCGGACGTCGGTAGGATTTGAATAGCTGCTACGTAGCAGCAGCATAATAACAGTCGCTAAGACAAACATTATTAATCCAACTTCCCTTTGGAGGTTCCTCAAAAAACACTATTGCAACAGTGTCAGTCAGTTGCAACGTAGAACTTCGACATAAGTACATCAGTTCATGTCGCCATACCACATCAGCACAGAGATATAATTGTCAATTCAAATCCAATAGAGTAGTAGAGGTAGTAAACGTACTAGAAGTAGTCGGAGAGGTTAGGATTAGAAGATATTATTCAAGAAGTATAATTCAATGAGAAAAGTTTAGAAAGTCAAAACTAAAGGTGTTGAAGAATCCAGAAGATTAGGATTTGAGAGAATACAAAGAATAAATGCACCTGCGCCACTGCAAACGGTTTTGAGCAATGTCATTCAGGGTATCTAACCATCATCGATTATTATCATCTAACGGACCCTAACCAGGTGGTCGACCGACGAGGCAGTTGGTGTTTAGGCATACGCAACACATGTCCCAACCACCTAAACTGATGAAGTGTCACTACTGCGTTTATTGATCTACCATTCTTACCTAGCACCCGATTCCTAATAACAGCGTTGCTCACTCGGGTGTCCCAGGATATCATACGAGCAATGCTTCGCTTCTTGGCTCTCTGAGCTAAGATCATGTGTAGTATCTGTTCTTTGCAGTGTAATTTCTACAACATTCTCTAAACTGAGACCAATGAAATTACCTGTATTTTTCGCTTTCGGACGGGTGCTGTGAGCTTGCTCAACCCCGTCCACGGGGGTCGGCCTCGTATTGCATTGCAACAGTGTGGACAATCAGGAAAGTGACATCAGCCTTCAATACCCGGGTATAAATAAATAGTTTAATAATTAATGAACAAGATTATAAATTTATGTACATGAGAAATTCATCCACAGACAGATCAGTGTGTATGAATATATAGAAAAGATAGTCATTATTATTATTATTAATACTGTTTTTATTCGGATAATTGACCATTTTCCTCATGTGTATAATGTGTTGGCAAACCTATACGACCATCTTTAATTTGTGCCAATGGAGTTTCACCAATCTTTGGCTCTAAACCATACCATGTTCGATGATGGAGTTTGCTGGTGTTGAAATTGTTCCATTGCGCCGTATCGATTAATTCTCGTGAAGATTGAACAACCAGTGATGATTGACAATCATCATCTGCACATTGTTGATTCAAAGTTAAATCGGTGTTATTTTGTGAAATTAAATGACTATGTCCATTGATCAATGAGACATTGGCAAATGATTCAGTTAATTGAGGAATCACATCCTCCACAGGCATGTAAGCTTGACCACCTTGTGTATAATTAAAATTTAAAAAAAACAGTTAGTGTATGTAGAAAACAACTTGTAGAGATTGTTGTTGGATTTAAATTGAAATCATGAATTGATCAGTGTTACCACAAAACACTATTGCATGACGGGGTTGTGAAGATTGTTATGTTACACATTTTTTTGAAACCATGAATCGATCAATGTTAGACCACCATTAGAAACCTGGAAGAAGCACTGAAAGACGGCCGTTTCGTCCTGGTATGGGACTCCTCAGCAGTGCGCACCCACGACTCCTGCATCCCGCAGGATTCGAACCCAGGACCTTCGGTATTGTGCGCGAACGCCCTAACCATCGGACCACTGAGCTGGTATCTAACAGTGTTAATGTCTAACTTGATCAAATTCACGGAGTTGCGCAACCTCATACACAGTCTTCGGTAGTTACTGTCTACACCCAAACAGGGTTGAACTTCACTAGTCTCACGTCTTCCCACTAGAACTCGGAGAGGATTCCTCACGAAGCTAGTCAAGCTAGTCAATAGTGAGCACAGGTAATTTGCATTACGGGGTTGTGAAGATTGTTAAGTTACAGATTTTTGAAACCATGAATCGATCAATGTTAGACCACCATTAGAAACCTGGAACAAGCACTGGACGGCCGTTTCGTCCTAGTATTGAAACTCCGCCTGAAGTTACTGTCGGTCTCAAGCCCGAAATAAAGGAGGAGAGTATGGGGTATGGGGTCAGGGACCCCATCCAGCAGAAAATTAACACGCTACAAAAACATTAACCATAAAATATAGTTTAAATGATTTAAACTCTGCCCTGAGTGTGTTAAAAGGTTTTCATTTAGAAGAATTATGACATGTCATGGATGAAATCCAAGTTCCTTTGGAAGTCATGACACCGATGCACCTGATAAAACAAATAGAGTAGCAAGAACTCTAGAAGAAGTGCTGGAAATGGATAGGACATACATTGGAGAAAGCACCTAACTGCGCCACAATACAAGCTCACACTTGGGATCCTCAAGGTCAACGGAAAAGAGATGTACGAAGGAACACATCATGCTGAGAAATGGAGACAGACATGAAAAGAATGAACAAAACTTGGACAGAACCGGAAACAAAGGCCTAGGACAGATTAGGTTGGAGAATACTGGTCGGTGGCCTATACACCATTGGGGGGGACCACTATTGAAAGCCTTAACATTGTTTGATGCCAACTCAATGGCCTAGAAGTACTGGGTGCGATTCCCGCGAACAAAGTTGCAGATGTATGTTGTTGAGGCGTATCAAACAAGAACGAAACGGTAGCCCAGTGATTAAAGGTTTTTAATGGTAGTCGAACACTGATCGGTTTATGATTTCAATGATTATTTTTGTATACCTTGAGAGATAAGAAAAACTGATTAAGTTAAAATTGACTGATCAGTAAGGAAGGAATTCATCAATGCTATGTTTGGCGAATATTTCCATGTTGACCGAATCGTACCAATTAAAGTAAAATATGATGATCACTAGTCTAAGTGACGCCATACTGAGTCAGTCAGATGCAACGTAGAACTTCGTACATAAGTACATAAGTTCATGTCGCCATTCCACATTAGCACAGACAGATGTAATTGTCAATTCAAATCCAATAGAGTAGAAGAGGTAGTAAAGGTATTAGAAGTAATCGGAGAGGTTAGGATTACAAGATATTATTCAAGAAGTATGATTCAGTGAGAAAAGTTTAAAATATCAAAACTAGAGTTGTTGAAGAATCCAGAAGATTAGGATTTGAGAGAACAAAAAGAATAAATGCACTGGCGCCATTGCGAACGATTTTGAGCCATGTCATTCAAGGTTTCTAACCATCGATTATTATCTCGCGGACCCTAACCAGGTAGTCGACAATTACCGACATGGCTAAGTCCACTCGTCAACGACTTGATGGATTTCTGCCATGTCTCGGTTTGGCCACCCCTAACTTTCTTCCAACCTATTGCTACACTATAAAACAAAGCTCTTCGAGGCAGTCGGTGGTTAGGCATACGCAGCACATGTCCCAACCACCTCAAATGATGAAGTTTCATTACTTCATCTATTGATTTGCCATTCTTACCTAGCACCCGATTCCTAATAACGCCGTTGCTCACTCGGGTGTCCCAGGATATACGAGCAATGCTTAGAAGACATCTATGATCGAAAACCAGTAACCTACGAATATCTTTTACTCTCACTGGCCATGTTTCACAGTCATAAAGTAAGACGGAGTGAACTACTGCACAGTACACTCATCCTTTAGTCAGCAAACGGATATCTCACCTACGCTCCATACTGAGTGTGCATTATGTTAGGTGTATAGAGGTAGTGAGTGAGCAGGGAAATCCTTTTTTGGTTTAAGTTTCGTGCTAACTACTACTACTACTACTATTTGCCAGTAAATTGACGCAACCGCATCAATATCAGCTTTGTTGTTGTTTAAGACATTAACCACTAAGCTATTATTCCAGTGACAACGTCAACATAATTCCTCCTGCCGATGATAAACATTTAAATTCAACAATGTGGAATGTTGTTTAGACACGCTTCAACTAGGGCAAGTCATACTGTGGTGCGCGCTACTTATAAGTAGTATATGACGCAAGTGTAAACGTAATGTCTGGCAGCAGAAGATGGGGGAAGATCAAGAAAGGAAGAGTGGGAACACAATGGCATTTGTATGAAACGCATGAATAAGTGAAATGTCAGACAATGGATTGATATTTTGCAAATTAACCGTTTACGATATGGTTTTCCGATTTTACTGAGTAACTCTGTAATTTGAGGTAAATACAATTCGGCTGCCCTCACCTGTGTTCTCTTTCACTACAATACATTAACTTAGAGTGTAGCATTCAAATCATAAATTGTTTTTTTAGTGTTGGATTTTTTAAATGGGCTGCTAGGGCTACCAAACAGAATCAGGGAGTAGTATCATTAAGAGGTCACTTCTACAAGTCTAGTCCACAACGCAGTGTAGTAACGAGGTCAGGAGATGCAGTTCTATGATGATAGTGTTATGCTTGTCACTTGTGATATGCTTGAAACTATTACGAGTTCACCTTAGTCGATAAACGTGAACGAGACAATGAACGCGTGACATGGTAGGCTACTCTGATCCGTTGCCCCAAACTAACTGAAGAGAAAAGTCTTGATATGACGTAGAAAGTGAATTCTACAAACACCCACCAAATACAATGAACTCAACCCCACAAATCGCGTTTATTTATACATCATAAAAAACTCCTTGGGAGAGTCACAAAAATCACATACTAAAATAACACATCAACCAATGACAGTCAAGGATTTTCTTGGTGGGAAATGCGACCTCAAGGTCAACTGATCAGTCCATTAATAAAAATCCATAATTAAGACATCTCTCTGGGAATCTAACGTCCCCAACGAATAGACGATGACCAACAACAGGTCCATATTCCATTCTTTCCTCCATCAGCACATCCTGATGCCCGTGTGAAATCAACTCCCTAGGTGAATTCTCCCTAACTACCTACCAACCCAATATTCAAGTATATGAGTATACAAACATTCATTTCATTTACCTGGTAAAAGATCATGAAAATCAAGCCAAAATTTCTCTGCTGTCCATGTACGTTCATCAGCATTTGGCAACAGTTCATCGGTATAACATGCTCGTAAAGCGCATTCCATTTCAAATGGTGTAATAACTGGAATAGGAATATCATGTGAATCGATTAAACTTGTTTCAGGACATGCAATTAAAATGAGCAATTCCAATTCTGGTAAACTGCATAATTTCTCTGGAGTTATTCGACCAACAATTAATGTGATATAAGAACGTTTTGCATTGGTTAATAATAGTTTCAATCGATCAATAATATGTTGATAATGTTGAATGGATAGGGTACAAACCTTTTGCGCATGTGTGTGTGAGAGAGAGACAGAGACAAATAAAACACAAAAATGTTATTTTCATTACAGGGGTTGTGAAGATTGGTAAGTTACACATTTTTTGAAACCATGAATCGATCAATGTTAGGCCACCATTAGAAACCTGGAAGAAGCACTGAAAGACGGCCGTTTCGTCCTGGTATGGGACTCCTCAGCAGTGCGCACCCACGACTCCTGCACTCCGCAGGGTTCGAACCCAGGACCTTCGGTATTGTGCACGAACGCCCTAACCGTTAGACCACTGAGCCGGTATCTAACAGTGTTAATGTCTAACTTGATCAAATTCACGGAGTTGCGCAACCTCATACACAGTCTTCGGTAGTAGTTACTGTCTACACCCGAACAGGCTGAACTCACACTGGACACGTCTTCCCACTAGAACTCGGAGGAGATTCCGCACGATACGCACTGCTGAGGAGTCCCATACCAGGACGAAACGGCCGTCCAGTGCTTCCAGGTTTCTAATGGTGGTCTAACATTGATCGATTCATGGTTTCATAAATGTTATTACCAAAGTAAACTGTGATTTGAATGACAGTTTTAAAAAATCAAATATCTCCGAGAAGATGACATCCTACAGTCATACATACATTTGTAGCCACCAACTAGCGCGTAGGGGGAATTTCAGCCTACTAACTTCACATAACAATGTTTCTTATGAAATTGAGAGAATTGAGAAGCGTTTAAAACTGTACTGTCGATATGAAGAGTCTATCTAAAGTCTATCTAAAGAATGCCCAACCACCTCTGGACCACCGTTGGATGCCGGCCTAGTGGTCCAGAGGTTAGGCGTTCGTGCGCAAGACCGAAGGCCCTGGGTTCGAATCCTGCGAGGTGCAGGAGACTTGGATGCGCACTGCCTCTGATGAGTCCCATATTCGGACGAAATGGCCGTCCAGTGCTTCCAGGTTTCCAATGGTGGTCTAACAATGATTGATTGATGATTTCAAGTCTGAAAATTATCAGGTGGTACACACATCTTGGCTAGTAAATTGTATCTTCACTTTCACCGGATCTTAACATTCTTGTTCATGACATAACTACTACTGATATCATTACTCCTAGTTCTACTTATTTGGAACTTGTGAATATTGACATAAGTATGATTAGTCAGCTACAACGTAGAACTTCGTACGTAAGAACATCAGTTCTAGTTGCTATACCCCATCAGCACACAGACGCAACAGTCGGTTCAAATCCAATAGTGACAGATGTAGTAGAAGAATTAGCAGTAATGAAGATTACAGTTCGAAGAAATTATTCAAGAAGTATAATCCAGTGAGATAAGGTTAGGAATAAAAAGATAAAAGTGATGAACAATTCACAGTACAATTTGAGAGAACACAAAGAGTGGGTGCACCTGCGCCATTGCAAACGATTTTGAGCCATATCATTCAAGGTGTCTAACCATCGATTACTATCATCTCGCGAACCCCAACCATGTAGTAGTCTGTAAGTACCAACATGACTTAATCTAGTTGTCATTAAACTTCATGAATTTGTGCCATGTTTTGATTTGGCCGCCCCCACCCTAGAGTTCTTCCAGCCTACACTTCTACACCACAAAACATAGCTCGTTGAGACAGTCAGCCGGCAGATAGGCATACTTAACATATGCCTCCTAAACCACTTCAACAGCAGTAAGGTCTGAGGGCGAAGTCGTACTGCTGACTGCAGAGGGGTGTGACAGCAGTAAGGTTGTAGTGAATGAGAACACAGGTGGGGCAACCGAATTGTATTTAACGAAAATTACAGAGTTACTCAGTAAAATAGGAAAACCATATCGTAAATCGTTCATTTGCAAAATATCAGTTCATCCTATGGAACTGGACTGTTCCTGTTGCAAAACATCACTCCATTGTCACTATTCATGCGTTTCATACAAATTGCATTGTTTTCTAACTCTTCCTTTCTTGATCTTCCCCCCCATATTATGCTACCAGACTTTACGTTGACACTCACGTCATATACTACTTATAAGTAGTTCGCACCACAGCACCACAAGGTGTTTCCTTCGGACAACCAGCATCTGCAGCAATGCTGCCTTCTCACAACGAAGGAAGGAAGGGTTAGAAAAGGTCGACCCTAAAAATGTCACACCTCACCCTACCTGACTGATTTCCGTCTCCGGTGGTAAGCGTGTCCACTAAGGGCTTTTAAGAGCGGAGCTAATCTTCAAAAATCCTTTCATAAAAAGGCCGTGCATGACCGACCCTAATCAGTTATCCCCTGGGCTCTACGGTCACGCAACCAGGTCTCTAAGACCAACACACTAATCTATCTTCCTTTTCAGTTCCCTCAAGAAACAACCTTTGATGGTGTGGGCAGCCGGGAAGTGACAATCGCCCTCATATCCGTAACAGCACACCAGACTAAATTGGTCAAAATCAAATCCTTCCTACTCCCACACACACACACACCTCACTTCAACTGATCAAATCTCACCACTCACTACTTTATCTATTTAGATCCCATTGACACAATAATCCATGTATCAGTCAGAGTCAGTTGCAACGTAGAACTTCGTACGTATGTGTACATAAGTTCATGTTGCCATACCACATTATTAGCACATAGACGCACAAATCCCATAGTAATAAAGATAGTAGAGGTATTAATGGTAATGAAGAAGACTAGTAGGGTTTGAAGATATAATTTAAGAAGTATAATTAGAAATACAAAGGTAGAGGAGGTGCTGACAAATCCAAATGATTAGGATATGAGAGAGCTCAACAAACGAATGGATGCCCTTACGCCATTACAAACAATTTTCAGCCATATCGTTGTTCAAGGTCTCTCTCTCTCTCTCTAACCATTGATGACTTTCATCTCGCACACTCCAACCAGCTGGTAGCTAGCTGGTAGTCTACATCTATCTACCAACATTTTGATTCAATCCACTCACTACTAGTCAATGAGTGACTACTCTTCATGGACTACTCTACTCCATGTATGGCGCAATACACATCATATATATATATATATATATATATATATAAAATATTAGATGTCATCAAGTGAAAACATAAACTAACTCTTACCAAAATTCCAATATATTGTGCATCTTTAGCTTTTTCAATAAAATATGTCCTTCGTTTTAATAAAGCATTCATTTGTATACCAGTACTACCAGTACTACAACTACCATCATTGAAATCTAATTCACCAGTAATTGAATCATAGAAAATTATTTTCATTGGATTCAATTCAGGTAAACATAATTGAATATGATAAATTGATTGGAGATCACGTTGATAATCATGATGATGAGTAGTTGTTGTTGTGTTCTTATCAATATGTCCAATATACACCATCATGTAATCATCATCATCATCAACAGCATTTTCAGGCGATTTCTTAGTGTGATGTTTCAATGCATTCAAATCAAATTGCGCCGGAATTAGTCGACGTCCACAACGAATCCATGAATTATTAGTATTATTATTATTAGTAGTAGTAGTAGTAGTATTGATGTATGGTTCAGACCATATAAATTTTGGTTTAATTGAATCAATCATAGAACAACTAGTACAATGAATTTCAGTGTTATTTAATATTAATAATAGTTGTTGATAAATATATTGTGCAATCTCTTTACATCGAAAATCATACATGATTAATACAATACGTGAAGCTGATGAGGATGATGATCGACGAAGCATATTAGCGAAAATTTTCGATTGTAATTGTGCCGAAACTTTTTCATATAATTTAATTTCATTAGATAAGTGTTGATTTGGTGAATATTTACCAAATACATAATAAATAGGTAAATTTCCACTAGTTGGTGATAAACATGCTCGACCATAATGAATTAATGCATTGATGTGTATATGTTGACCAGCGATTTCATCGATACAACAACTGAAATAATTAAAATAATAATAAAAGTAATTGGATAAATATTTATAACTCTTCTAAACACTGGACGGCTGTTTTGTCCTGGTAGGGCGAGTACTCATCCTAGAACTAAAAGCGGCATTTGATTCAGTGGATTGTGAGATTCTGTGACAGTGTCTGTCATTGAAAGGTGTACATTGAAAGAAGTATATTAACCTTATACAAGCTCTCTACTCGAACAGTACAGGTCGAGTGAGAGTTTAATGGCGAACTGTCATCGGAATTCTTTACTTCAAGTGGTGTCCGTCAGGGCTGTCCACTCACTCCATTCTTGTTTAATTTTATCATAGACATGCTCTTAGAAATAACCTTATCCTCATCTGAATTTTCAGGAGTAGACCTTTTACCAGGTGACTCGCTGATTGACTTAGAATATGCCGATGACATTGTCCTACTTGGTGAAGATGCTGACAAAATGCAGAGTCTTCTGACCACCTTAAGCAACAATGCAAGCATGTTCGGGATGAGGTTTTCCCCCTCGAAATGCAAAATGTTGCTTCAAGAATGGGTTTCATCGGCACCTGAACTAGTGATAGGGAGTGAAGTAGTCGAATGTGTAGATCGCTTCACTTATCTTGGGAGTCTCATCAGTGCCGATGGCCTCGTGACTGACGAAATCTCAACTCCGATACAGAAGGCTCGATTGGCTTTTGCCAAACTGCGACATTTATGGCGCAGGCGAGATATCCGTTTTCTGACTAAAGGACGGGTGTACTGTGCAGCAGTTTGCTCCGTCCTACTGTACGGACGCGAGACTTGGCCGTTAAGAGTAGAGGAATTCCGTAGGTTACTAGTCTTCGATCATAGGTGTATCCGGAGCATTGCTCGCGTATCCTGGGATAACCGAGTAAGCAATGCTCTCTTTAGGAAACGAGTTCTAGGTAGGGATGGAAAATCAATAGATGAAGTAGGGAAACTTCATCAGTCGAGGTGGTTGGGATATGTGTTACATATGCTACACCACCGACTGCCTCGACGAGCTATGTTTTGCAGTGTAGGAGTAGGTTGGAAGAAAGCTAGGGGCGGTCAGACCAAAACATGGCAGATATCCATGAAGCCATTGACAAGTGGACTGAGTCATGTTGGTAGATGTAGACTACCTGGATGGAGTCCACGAAACGAAAGTCACCGATGGTTAGAGACCTTGAATAATATGGTTTAGAATCGTTTGCGATGGCACAGGTGCATCCACTCTTTGTGTTCTATGAAATTCTAATCTTCTGAATTCCTCGTCAACTTCATCTTTCTCTCTTTTTTAAGTTTATTTCACTGGCTTAGACTACTCGAATCATATCTTCAAAAACTTTATCTTCTCTATTAGCGCTAATACATTTACTGCCTTCAAAAGTTACACTACACTGGAAACAATTACCGGATTCTAACGAATAAAAGATAGTTCGTAATTTAAAAAAGCATCTTACATCCTATGGTCTGAGTCATGTCGGTAGTTGTCGACTACCTGGTTGGGGTCCGCGAGATGATAGCAATCGATGGTCAGATACCCTGAATGACATGGCTCAAAACCGTTTGCAATGGCGCCGGTGCATTTATTCTTTGTGTTCTCTCAAATCCTAATCTTCTGGATTCTTCAACACCTCTAGTTTTGACTTTCTAAACTTTTCTCACTGAATCATACTTCTTGAATAATATCTTCTAATCCTAACCTCTCCGATTACTTCTAATACCTTTTACTACCTCTTCTACTATTGGATTTGAATTGACAATTACATCTCTGTGTGCTGATGTGGTATGGCAACATGAATTGGTATACTTACGTACGAAATTCTACGTTGCATCTGACTGACTGACATCCTATGGGTTTTAACAAATACAGACAGACAGACACAGATACAACGTAGAACTTCGTACGTACATACATCAGTTCAGATTGTCATACCGCATTAACACAAAGACGTAACTGTCAGTTTAAATCAGATAGTTGTAGAGATGATAGTAAAAGTATTAGCAGTAACGGAGAAGATTAAGATATAATTCAGTGAGATAAAGTATAAGAAAGAGAAACATCAAGTGATGAGGAATTCTGAAGAGAGAACACAAAGAGTGGATGCACCTGCACCTGCCATGTCATTCAAGGTCTCTAACCATTGGTGACTATCGTCTCGCGGACCCCAACCAGATAGCCTATATCTACCAACATGACTCAGTCCACTTGTCAATGATTCATTCCATAGGTTTGTGTCATGTTTTAGTTTGGCCGACCCTAGCTATTTTCTTCAAACCTTATTCCTTCTTACACCAATAAATTCAATAATAAAACATGTTTTTAAATAATTATTCAATATCATTTTATATAAAAAAAATAATAACTAACTTATTGTTTTAATTCACCTTGCAAATGAACTATCTCCCAGTATTACACATTGACAATCATCATCAGTAGTAGTAACAAGAGAATTCAACTGTCGACATATTACAACAGATATGCCTAATAATTCATCGGGGAATTGTAATCCAACCTTTAATTTTCGTTGTTATATTTTTTTGTTAAAAAAAAATCAAATTACTTTGGTAAATTTATTCTTTATAATCCAATTGGCTGTTTCATTAATTTCAAAAACAGTTGATATATCCGGTGAGTTTGCATTCCATTTTTCAATCATCATTTTGATTGTAGTAGTTGTTGTTGTCAGTTGTCAGTTGGGGGGGGGGGGCTCAACGTGTAAATT